GAAGCAGAATGGATGGCGTATGAACTGCGTTTATATCTATATGTAGTATCTATCTATCTATATATATATATAGCTATATATATATACACCTATATCTATATATATATATCTATACCTATATCTATATCTATATCTATATATAATTATACATATATGTATATATACCATAGGAAAAATCATGGTAGGCGAGTATCATATCATGTGGATTGCATTTCAATGATGCCAACATTAGGGAGATCATTGGTGCCATCATTTTCCAGGGAATGTTGGCGGAATGCCCATTTGCATAAGTTTCCATACTACTCCTATGTCTGCCAGGGAAATCTGATGAAATCTGTGGAAATCTGACAAAAAGTGCTACAAATATATCCCTGCTTGGTGGTTTCACCATGAAAAGTAAGAAAACTATTCCTGATCATCCCTGGGTCGAAGTAGAAAATCATGAGAGCAGTCATGGAGATAACGAGGCATCTCGAGGCCTAACATTAGATTTACAAAGTAGATTTAGAAAGTCATGGGGAGATATAGATATACCATCTGGTTATGACTAACAGTTCTCCATGGAAAATCCCCAAAATCGATGGAGGTTTTAGTTTTAATGGGAAAATCATCTATTTCGATTAGGGCCATCTATTTTCCATGGCAAACTGTGAATGTCATAACCAGAGGGTAACTGTTTTAACTAAATCTCCCCATGTTTGGATGGAGCATCTCTGGGATCTCTGGCCCGGCCACCGCTGATTCAGCCGCCTGACAGTCGGGGGAAACGCTCCCGAAGAGAACACTTCTGTACTCACGAGAAAACGTAACAAAAACGATAGACATAAAATCCCTGAAAAATAGTAAATCAAGCAATCATTGTTCTATCATGTTCTATCTATTTGGAGGCTACTATACTCTGGGTATTTAACGTTGCGAACTGGAAAATCACCAGTTCTTTAACAGGTATATCATCATATATCATCTATAAATGAACAATGTTCCATGGTTTATATCTGTTAAATAACCTGGTTGATTCACATTCACATCATGGTAAATATTGGGGTCGTCATAACTAGCTATATAAAAATTGGTTATTGTCGAAGGAAGTTTAGAAGTGAAACTTCCGACAATATGGACAGTTGAAAAGCAGAGGTGAGAAGAGTCAGAAGAGACAAGATCAGAAGAAAGAAGAGGTAGATGCGCGAAAAGATAGGAAAGTCGCGATTCACTGTGTTTTTCCAATGATTTGTGGCTCCGGAGGGTCGAAAAGTAGGCTCGCTAAAGCGGCGGGTGCGGAGCCAGCTGGCCAGATGAGACATGAAAAAGTGCACGCCGTTGTGGCGCGAAGCACATTTCCAAGTCAAAATGGACAAAACACTAGAGGAGCGGACCACTTTTGGAAGTTGAGATGTCGAAAAAGTGCACGCCGCTGTGGCGCGAAGCACATTTTGAAGTCAAAATGTGCAAAGCACACCATGGTCGGACCACTTTTGGAAGCTGCGATGTCGAAAAAGTGCACGCCGTTGTGGCGCGAAGCACATTTTGAAGTCAAAACGTACAAAACACACCATTCTCGGAGCACTTTTGGAAGTTGCGATGTCGAAAAAGTGCACGCCGTTGTGGCGCGAAGCACATTTTGAAGTCAAAAGTGTTAAAAAATGACGGTCTCGGACCACTTTTGGAGGTTCGGATGTCGAAAAAGTGTCGAAAAAGTGCACGCCGTTGTGGCGCGAAGCACATTTCGAAGTCAAAAGTGTAAAAAACTGAGGGTTTTGAGCCTCTTTTGACGTGAAGATGTCGAAAAAGTAGACATTGGTTAACTTAACTAACTTGACTAACTTAACTAACTTCACTAACTTAACTACCCTAACTTCGACGACAACAGCAACAGCAACAGCAACAACACCAACAACAACACCACCACCACCAACAACAACAACAACAACAACCACAACCACAACAACAACACCAACCACAACAACTACAACAACTACAACTACAACAACTACAACAACTACAACAACTACACGACAACTACAACTAGAACTACAACTACTACAACAACAACAACAGCAACAACAACAACAACAACTACAACAACAACTACAACTACACAACAACTACAACTAGAACTACAACTACAACAACTACAACTACAACAACAACAACTACTACTACTACTACTACAGCAACAACAACAACTACAACTACAACAACTACAACAACTACAACAACAACAACTACTACTACTACTACACTACACAACAACTACAACCACACAACAACTACAGCTACAACTACAACAACAACTACAACTACAACAACTACAACTACAACTACAAAACAACTACATCTACAACTATATGGCTGCAACTACACTACACTAATTACATTACACCACAACTACAACTCCACTACGCTACAACTACAACTACAGTTGCAGTACATCACACTACATCCAGCAGTTGTGGGTGAGGTGACCACTGCAACCATTACAACCATTCCAGCAAAGACAACTTCAACCACCTTTCGGTCAATCAGTGGCTTCGCTCTGCCATCCCTGATTCACAACAACCAACTTCTCCTATAGGTTTCCTATTTTTGAAACTTCCGCCACCGCCTTGTGCGGTACTACTGGTAAAATTATATCTATGTTAGTGCTTGTCCTACATATATTGGTTGATTCTGGTTGGCTAGTTGGTCACAGCCAACACAACCCAGCAATTACTTCATAGATGGCCCCAGCGCTTAGGCCAGTTGGTTGAAAAAACAGGCGGTCGCAGCCACCACTGTCAGTGCTGGATGTCCAAGATCTTAGGAGACAACTCATTACGATGGCCTTGCAGCCGTTTTTTCACCCGTTTTTTCAATCATCAGTCCGATATCACAAGATATAGACTGAGAGAAAGGAACAATTCAATGAAAAAGGGGAAATCTGGCATTTCTGGATGATGTGCCTATAAAGATTGTGTTTCCTACTTGCCATGCTTGTTTCCCAATGGGTAAGGGAAAATTTGTGGGTGGTTGACAGTTGGCTTCCCTGTTTAGCTCAAATCCGGCAATGGAACATCCAGAACTGGTCAATTTTCCTGGTGTTTTTGGCAAGATTAAACCCTCCAAGGGATAGAATTATATAAAATTCATGTGGTCTATAGGTAACCCCTCACAAAGCTGGGTCAAAGTCGTTGACCGCGATTTTTGAATCAGAGAATCATCGAAAATCATCTAAAATCATCGAAAATTGGGGGGGGGGGGTAGTCAAAATCATTCATAGGTTTACCATCTGGTAATTTAATATAGCTATTGAAAATGGCCCAGTCGAGATAGTTGATTTTCCAGAAAAAATGGCATGGTGGATCTTTCCATAGTTTTTTGTTAACGTTTACCAGAGGTTAACCATGGTTTACCTGTCAAAGCCCAGTAGTTTGGCATCTCCCCGGGTCGTCGCGGCTGCACCTTCTGCTCCGGGGCGGGCCCCTTTGTCAGCACACGGGCCTGTGATGTTCGGCAGAGATCCGGAAAAATATCAGAGATCTTGAGTTCATATAGAGAATGAAGAATTGTTGAGGCTTGCTCATGGATTTTAAGCACATAGCCTAGCTGCAGCTATTGTTGTGTCCATTCCTATCTTAGATATGCTTAAATTGTCTAGAAAAAAAACAAACACATGTTGGATTACTAGGAGGAAAACAACAAAATAACAGCAAATCCAGGTTCTCATCTTAGAGTGCCCACCAAAAAACGGAAAGGTCCTTTATCATTCAATATGGATTTGACTGCAAAAGTGAACACCAACTCAATAACAAAAAGCGGGATTCCCCAACTGTTTTAAAATACCTGGGAGATCTGAAAACATCTGAAAACATCTGAAAACATCTGAAAACTCAACATTGTGTTGTATTCAAATTGCAATTTGGTGGTTTACCCGTTTGTTGGACAAGCACGACACGTTTGTTGCGACCCTAAAGGTATGATCAATGGATTGGTTGATAGGAAATTCTGCAGGAAGCCGGCGGCAAAATTGCTCCCAACCAGCCTGGGGGTTCCTGTTGCGTCATTCAATGAATTTTGAGATATGGATATGTCTGAAAATGGGGTATACCCCCAATTATAGCCATTTAATAGGGATAATGATCATTAACCATTGGGTGTAGGGGTACACTATTTTCAGACAAACCCATATTGAACCCCCCAAAATGGTTGTTTTGATCAGACTTCAGTGAGAAGTTGCGCAAAAAAGGCGCCAAGTTGTGGGGCCGTGGGAAAAACCAATATTGACCCATTGTTGGGGCCCAGAAATATCCCATTCGCAGAATCACTTGGTTTCAAAGGGCCAAGGGTGATTTTCTCGAAGGGGATTCTGAAAAAGTGGTTCTTAATGCACTTCAGATTTTTCATAGCAAATCTTAGATACCTTGCAAAAAAAGGAATGCCCCATCTATTGTATGAATGTGTTGCCCCATCTATTTTAAGAATGTGCTGCATGCTTGATCTAGCTATACATTTATCATATTTTATCATATCATACTATGTAAATTGGAGAGTTCCCATCCAAAACACCAGTCATTTCCACCCATCGGAGCCATCAAAACTGACCCCCTGATCCTGCCCAACCGCCAAACTGGCGCACCAAAAAACTGCTCATCGGATTCCGTGGGCCAGCAGCTTTCTCATCTGGCGCGGGGGGCGCGGGAATCCAGTCCATGGGTTCAAAACATGTGCGTCAAACAAGATGAGTGGATGAGTGGATGAGTGGATGAGTGGATTAGTGGATGAGATGACCAAGGATACCAAGGACTGTGAGTACCGCCCAAAACTGTGAGTCAAACAATATGACCAAGGGCTATGAGTACTGCCCAACATCCTTCACACCAGCAGCGAAGCGGTTTTCAAACTCTTTGAGAAGCTCAGGTTCCACATTCCGCATCGGGAAGTGTTCCTATCTGGGTATGGGTCAAAATTAAAGACCTGGGGACCACAGATTTAAGTGTATGGTTTAAATTAACCATCCAATACTTGGGGCACTCCGCTTTGACCCATACCCATCGCCGGCGGCGTCACAGTGATCACAATAGTCTCAGACATTCTCAGACCCGACACAGAACATGTTTCGGGGATGAGCAATTTTGGCCCACACTTGTGAGGAGGTTCGGCAACGTCGGCAACGTCGACGCCACTTGAAGAGCTTTGCCTTCCATGGCCATCTCTCTGGCAATCTTCGCCTCCACCAACAAGCCGTCCCAGATCAGCGATTGCGCCTGGTGATAGGCTGAAACAACTATACTTCCACAAAAATGCACTTTAGCATCTTTAGCTGTTAAATGAAAATTGTATGAACTTATAACTTTAAGACTAGCCTTCCCATCAAAAACATGCGTTGAAGACTGCTTACAATTTGCACCAACTCTTCATGCTAGTCTGATCATATCTAATCTGATTTGGACCTACTGATGGGTTTTTGACTTTCAGTGGCAAAGGTGCTTCGAAACCACATCCGAGATAAACATCCGATCTACATCCGCCTTCAGGTCGCCAGGGTCCATGCTATTCACAGACCACATGAGATACTCCTTGTACTGGGCATAGGGCACTGGGCGGAAGGACGAGTTGATGTCGCGGCCAAAGCGCTGCACAAAGATCTGCCGGACCTGGTCATCCTCCTCCTTGGTCATCTTCTTTTCCTGGGAGAAATGCAGTGAAGTTGGTGGTCAAACAAGTAAAAAAAAAAAAAAACTTCCAGATTCCCCAAAAATGGTGGGTCAAAAGGGCCTCAAGGGCCTCAAGGGCCTCAAGGGCCCCTGGTAATTGGATGGTACCCTACAATTTCGCTGGTGAATGGATGGCGATTCCCCAATTTCATAGGCTTTGACCCATCCCCGAAATGATGGATTTACAGGAAATCAAAACTCATGGGCTAAGCAAATCGCTGATTCAGAGTGCACCTTGGTTTGCAGGAGGCCCATCAAGGCGAACTCTTCCACTGAAATGAAGCCGTCACCATTGAGATCCGTCAGCTCAAACAACTGTCGAGCTGCCTGCAGCCGCTCAATCTCCAAGGGACTCGCCTCTTTCGCTTCCTCCTTGGGACCGCTGCAGAGCTGGGAGCAGTCGCAAAAAGGAACGTTTCCCATGGGCGAAAAAAGGGACCGAAAAGGACCAGAGACCAGGTGCGCTGTGAGCCACGTTCAACTGACACCAACTGGTCGTCCGCAAATTCATAAGCTCAAGTTCAGCCGTGCTGCGCTTCCAACATGATCAACTATTCCAATGGGTCAATAGGTCAAAATGTCATCCACCACCCAACCAACCAGTCTGGACCATCCAACTTGGTGGAAAGACACCATTTTTGTTCTTACCAATAAAAACTTTAAGCAACATACCCCTGAAAGTCAAATGACTCATCTTGCCCACCATAGTAATGTATATATATATATATATTAATGATAATGGACAATCCACAAGTAACATCAATTTTCACGCAGGGGGTAATCCATTTTCATCACTGTCCGGGATTGTCCGGGCCTGGCAGTAGCTCCCCTCCACCAGACACTTGACGGTCTTGACGCTCTTGACGTTCAGGAAGTTCCAAAGGCATCATCGAACCTCAGCCCAAGCTTCTGCAGAGATGGAGGTCAAAATTCCAGATGGATGAACACCCCATGGAACATCCATTTCTATCGCTAGGATATGCCCAGGTTTTGACGAAAATTCAGCAGATTTGAAGAGGCAAACATTGGGGAGGTTCACTCAGAGGGGACCATTCTACCAGCAAACCAAGGGTAAATACGAAGCAACAAGAATTGTTGGTAGAATCACCACTCAAAAACTGGGCGTTTGAGGGCGGATATTGAAGTGGTGGAACTACGTAGCGTTGCCATTTTTGAGGCTTTCAGGTACGAAAATGGGGTCACAAGAAAAACAGCTCAAAAATGGAGAAAACTAACCACCATCAATGGATTGGTCGTTGTGGAAGGGAAAATCTACAGGAAACCCATCGTTTTTGCCAGTGAAGTGTCATCCAATTCCTGGACAAGTCCCAAAATTGCTCGGATGAGCGAGCAAACAGCCGCAGCAAACTGACCACAAATCACCAAATGGAATTGGTTCAAAAGTAGAAAATATTGCTAAAATTGCTAAAGGTCAAAATGGAGTGCTAAAAGATTAGAACATTACGTAGAGTTCAAAAGTTTTGAACATTTGTTTCCAAATAGGATGTCAAGTGTACAATGCGGTACCCTTCGAAAAATGAACCCGACTCGACCTTTACTTGGATGTACCGGTAGGTGGGTTAGAACCCAGAATCTTATCACCTGCACATCTAACTGGTCATATTTCATATGAAATTGGGTTATCATGTGCTTACTACCAGCTTCCTACAATGCAGTGCCCCCAGTTATAAGTTGATTTATCGACCCCATGAACTAGTTCGATATATCAACATATATCAACCATAAACCCAACAGTGACATAGTAGTTATGTTTACCAACTTGACAAAAAGGGCACCACCTTGTAGTTTTCTGACAAGAAACCCTGACAAGAAACCCGCACACAAGCCACATAAGTACCATTGTCAATCGACAGTATATAGGATATGGTATGGTAAATGGTATATAGATGTATATAGTATGTCAAGGTCATCTATCCCACATTGGGGATCCTTTTGATGCCCAAAAAAAAAGATATCCTCCGGTAAACTAACATAACCATGGAAAATCACCATTTTTTATGGGTAAATCCACTATAAATGGCCATTTTCAATAGCTATGTTAGTTTACCAGAGGGTATAAACTGGATTGATGATGATTGACCCCCGAACAATTAAAGGAATGACAACCTAGATCAACCTTGGACCATGCCATATCCCATGACGGATCCATGGTGCTGGATGGTAAATGTTACCATATATGGCATACATGGATCCTATGGGTATATACAACTGGTTTATTTCTTCAATGGCCATTGCCCACAAAAAAAAAAAAAACGCCTGAGCTGCTCCGACCCACAGCAGATCCGCCAGGGGTGGTCTGTACTGGTGAAGCCTGCAGTGAAGCCTGTCGCGGCGGTGACTCTGATGCTGGGATCACCGAACTCGAACAAAACTTTACCAAAAGAAGGCGTCCAAAAAAATTGGGCCAATCAAATGGCCAATCAAATGACCAATTTAATGGTGATTTAATAGTTTAACAATGGGTTAACAATGGTGAATAATGGGATGATATGATGGATATGATTAGGATGAATATATGATACCCTCTGGTAATTTGCTACATAGCTATTGAACATGTCCCAGTCGAAATAGTGGATTTTCCCATGAAAAATTCTGATTTTCCATCGTATAGCGGTGACCATTTTTCGGCCTCCATGAAGTTCATCGATTCACTTTGACAAAGCCTGGAGAATCCCAAGACCTTTACGGATGCATCGCTGAAAAAAATGGGCCTCTTCCGCACCACCTGCAGGCGCGGGGCAGGCGGACATCGGGGATAACATGGAAAATCAAGGAACACCTTGCCATGGTCACCAAACAAAATCACCGGCTTCACTGACTTCAGGCCCGTGGAGGTCTCGGTTCCAGTGACGGGCATCACCATCTTTCGCTGTAAGAAGTGCATGTTGCTTTGCCAAACAATTGGGTCGAATTTGGCACTGGTGAATCATCATTGAAACCCCATGAAACTAGCAATTCTGAATAACTTACCCTCTGGTTATTTAACATAGCCATGGAAATCACCATTGTTAATAGGTAAACCATCTATAAATGGACCATTTTCCATGGCTATGTTAAATAACCAGAGGGTTTTTTCAGACATAAACTCTTGGGGTATTACAACATATTACAACCATGTCTACAGTTCAACTACTATGTTAACTATACACATTTCATTGTCATGTTTCGGGTCCGCCATTTCGGGAGTCTTCCCATCGTTCCCTGGGTGTCCACCGTTCCACCTTTGCCGCGACCTTTGTTGCCCCGACCACGACCTTCGAAAAAAAACGGTCGGAACATGGTGAGAAACTGGTGCGATGTCCCCGATTCTTAGGGCCATCATGATGAACTGGGGGAGTTTTTTGGCTGGTTGGTGGTAATTATACCTACCCCCCTGAAAAATATGAGTTCGTCAGATTGGATCATCATCCCCAATCTGGTTGGGGAAAATAAAATTCATGTTCCAAACCACTAGCCAGTTGGTGTTTTCCCAGAATTCTCAGACTCTCCAGAACCCCAAGCTGACTTGTTGCTTTGGTGGCCACTCGGCGAATGGGACACGGCAGGTCACCCCATTTAGTGTCGCTATCCGAACAACTCTCCGGCAGTCTAAGCAGCAATGGAACATCACCCATTATTCATTTGGTGGTAATTCTTGTACAGTATACTGTATGAGGACTCAGGATTTTCCAGTTTTTGCTTCGATTGCTGCGGGAATCCAGTCTTGGGTGCCCCTCCCATCCCATCCACCCATAGAACAACCATAACCCATAACCGGAAGCAGCAGATTCCACGGAAATTTCGGACCGGTCATCATCATTTATCATCCCAGGAGTTATTCAATCCCCAGGTTTTGTTTCGCCACCATTTTCGATCCATGAAATGGGACCCATGAGATCCCGATGGATGCTGGGATGGTTCCCACCTTCGGCTCTGCCTCGGAGCGTACCGGCCACCTGTTTGTCCTAGTTGACAGCAGCAGCCAGTAAGGAACTAGAACTGCTGGCAAAAATGTCGTAAAAACCCAGGGATTCTGGTCGAATTTCCTGAAAAGACCAAGCTGCCAAGCTAAAGAAAAATGGGGGGGCATGAACTGATTGAATCACCAAAAATGGTGTTTGTTCTGGGAGCAACTTTAATCAGCAAAGGAGAGATTCAATAAAGTTCTTTCAATTGAGATATTGAACCGGAAAAACATAAGGAGCATTTGGCATCTGAACATGAAAATCATAAGTCGGGTGTGTAAATGGGTCCCCAAGGCCAAATAAAAACAGAAATGATAGAAGAAATGTCCACGCATTTGACGACATGATTTCCTGTCAATGGATGCAACCAGTTTGAAAGCCTCCAAGATAAAAATGTCCGGGGGTTGCGAAAAAAATCAATCTCGGGGTCAACTGGTGCCATTCAAATAATTTCAATAGCCTTTTGACTTCTTGATTCCGCAAAATGCGAGGGGGGTGCATCTTTTTTTCATCAACAGAAATGGCACCCAACCATTTCTAGCTGACTTTTGGTCGCAGGTTCCACTCATTTCATCGAAGATTGCACAATATCGGTGCTTTCAAAGTTGGACCATGTTGGACCTATATCGATTGATTTAACCGAAAACACCGATCGATACTTTGATTTGGTCTTAGGCTTTGAAAAAAAAATGCCAAAAATCAATTTAGTACTTTGATTGGTCTTCAATTTTAGTACTTTGATTGCATGTTCTTAGGCTTGGTGAAAAAAATGCCAAAAAATGTTTGCAGCGCCTCAAACAACTAAGAAAAAAAACACAAAACCCCGCAAAAAAAAATAACGCAAAAAGCCGCAAAGCACCCGCAAAACCCACAAACACCTGCAAATCCTGAAATCTTGGTGTTTTAGGTAGTTTTCGGATTGTCTTAGAGTTCCAAAATTCCTTACGTTTTGTGTACGTGGGCATAGTAGTGAGATTTTCCCAGAATCATGTTTGGAACAAAGTGAATCATTCTTTGGGTTGTTTGACCTATCTTCTTAGAACGACATTTTTTTCCTCGGCAGTGGAGGGAGGGTCGAGGTATGTATCTTCATAGGCATTGTTATTGGCCAATGTTCAGCTTTGAATTCTCTGCCGTTAGTGTGCAAATATATGCGTAGTATACATATTACACATCTCCAGACACATCTTAACATATCTGAATCATTCTGAATCCCATCCCCCGAAAATAAGCACACCCTCAAAGGGTTCCCAATATGTTTTCCAATCCCCTACTAAACCCATGGTTTCTGGAGGGGTTACCAAACTATTAGGAGTTCCGCAACCCCCTAATCATCCAATAGCTACAAGAAATTCCCGACTGGCCAGAAAAAATATAGAGTAACCAACCATTAATTATAGACAATTATAGTGTAAACCTCCAGTAATACCCACTATTTCATATAGTGCACCATTAGTATCAATATCCATTCATCACCAGTTAATAAAGTGTAATAATCACCATTAAT